CGTCGAGGCGAGAGCGCGCGGAACCGTTTCCGGAGATCCACAATAATTATTCTCTAGTAACGAGCACTCAACAACAACAACAACAACAACAACAACAACAACGACAACAACGACAACAACAACAACAACAACAACAACAACAACAACAACAACAACAACAACAACAACAACAACGACGACGACGACGACGACAGCAGCAGCAGCAACAGTTACAACAACAACAACAAAAACAACAAGGTCAAGGCGATTACGAAGGACGACGCGTCCCGTGAGCTCGCTGTAACCGCCTCGCCCTCTACTACTCAAGGCGGATCACGAGGACGAACGGCTAGCACCCCCCCCCCCGCAGCCAAGCAACCGAGCAACCCAACGAAAACAAAAGATGCTCTCCGAACGCTGCCCCGACGAAACTCCAAGCGGATTCCGATATTTGCTCCAGCGAGGCTCCGGATCGGGGGGGGGCCCTATAGGATCTCTATGGCGACCCTGCAGGGCCTATTGTATCCCTATAGAGACCCTACGGAAACCCTTCAGGGCCTATACGATTCCTATAGAGGCCCCTACGGAAACCCTACAAGGCCTAGAATATCCTTATAGGATCCCGCTAGGATCCCTATAGGATCCCTATACTTTTTTTTGGATCCCTATAGCGACCCTATAGCCCTATAGAGATCCCTATACTATACCTTCAGGATCCCTACAGAGACCGTACAGATATTCCTGTAAGGTCCCTTTGGGATCCCTGTTGATACCCTATAAAGATCAGTAAAAGGGTCCCTTTAGGATCCCTATACATTTATAGAGATCCCTATAGGGTCCCTTCAGGATCCCCATAGAAACCCTATGGAGATCCCTTTTGGGTCCCTTTAGGAACCCCAAAGATACCTATAGGGTCCCTACAGAGACCCACTAGAAATCGTTATAGGGTCCCTTCAGGGAGCCCATACAGACCATATCAAGATCCCTATAGTGTCCCTTCAGGAACCCTATAGAGACCCTACAAAGATCCCTATATAATCCCTACAGAGACGCTATAAAGATCCTGCAGGGCCTGTAAGGTCCCTATAGGATCCCAATGGAAACCGGGCCTATAGGATCCTGATAGGACCCCTACCGAAACCCTGCAGGGCCTGTAGGATTCCTATACAAATCCCATGGAGACCCTGCAGGGCCTACAAGACTCCTATATGATCCCTTTAGGAGCCCTAAAGAGACCCTATAAAGATCCCCCTATAAGATCCCTCCGGAGAGCTTATAGAAATCATTCAGGGCCTGTAAAGTCCCTTCAGGATCCCGCTGGGATCCCTCTAGGGTCCCTGCAGAGACCTTGTAGGATTCTCATGGAGACCTTATAGAAATTATTCAGGGCCTGCAAGGTACCGACAGGATCCCGCTAGGATCCCTGTAGGATCCCTATACAGACCCTATAGGATCCCTACAGGACCCCATATAGGATCCCTATAGGACCCCATATAGGATACCTACAGAAATCCTGCAGCAGGGCCTGAAAGGTCGCTATAGTATCCATACATGATGCGGATCGTGGGAGGGGCAGAGCAGGGGGAGAAGGAGGAGTTTGCTGGCGGCGGCTCGCGCCAGCACGCCAATCTCAACTCCATGTCTTGTTGTCAGCTGGGGGATGGGATGGGGGAGGGCTGATGTGGGAGACGGTCGGCCACTTGCGCTCCCTATGCACCTGTAGCGTCCAGGCGCCGGAATTGCATATCTGCGCATGTCCCACTCTACAAACAGCGCGCACCTTCATCACGTGCCGAAACTGACTAAGAACGTCCTGCAATGAAGGATCGCCAGTGGCACGATAAACCCGCTCGCGCAGCCCACTGTTATGTTATGTTGTTCTGTTCTGTTCTGGTGATATGAAGACCCCTTGGAGGGGATCACCACAGGTCTGACCATGCTATCTGCGGAATTGCATAAATCGTGAAAAATGACGTGCCCGGCGATTTGCCGGCGCAGCAGCCTCGACCGCGTGACTCTTCTTCGGACCAGGCCGATAAAGAAACGCGGGACAAGCAAGGGAAACGAAAAGCGGGAGAGCGAGGGGCCGAAGAGCCGAGGAGAGGAGGGGGGCAAGGAAAGGGCGACAGAAAGACAGACCGGGCCGACGGACGGGGAGACGGGGGACAGGGGGGAGAAGCCAAGCAGGGACAGAGAGGGAGGACACACACCACAAAGGGCAAGGGCACACAAGGCAAGGGGGGGGAGGCCACGGAGAGGGAAGAAGGGAGGAGGAGCCGAGAGCCAAGAGCGAAGCAAGAAAAGGAAGGCAAGAAAGGAAGCACACAGAGAGGCGACGGTATGATACATGACAGAATTCTACGCTGCTGCGAAGGCGTTCTCTGCCTGCTTCCACCGAGCTCGGTCTTGGGCCCGCTGCATCCAGCCGGCTTCGGTGCGGAATGGGTCATCACATTCGACTTCGCCGCAAAAAGATGCCAATTGGGACTCCCATCTCCAAACTTTGAAACGCGCAGGGTGGACCCCGCATCTTTTATCATGGTGCCGTCTCTGCCGGCACCTCCACCACGCGAGACACCGGGCACGCACGGCATCTGCGCAGATGCCGCCCATGCGCGCAAGATGTCCGGCAAAACGATGTAGACGCACGCGTCTCCTGTGTTCTGCAGAGCCACCTGTGTCTTCCATGAGGGCGTGGCCAGTCCTGTAGAGGCGCCTCCAGAAGACGCCCATGGTTTCAGCACCGCGACGGCAAGTCCGGGCAATATCTGACATGCGCTTTGCTGCCCAACTGTTAAACTTATGCTGCTGCTCCTTGGTGAGATCCCATGTTTCAGCGAGCCGCAAAGCAGACGCCATCAGAATTTGCGAACCCAAAGCTAGTCTCCTCCTTCGGTGTGCATGTCGGCACTGGAAGACAGATTCCCAGCGGTAATATACCTAGTCAGCTTGCTGGATACGAAGCTCCATGCTTGCCCCGCTATTCCCATTGAGGTCAATGACATCCCCAACGAAAAATATAGATTCTGACCAAGGGATCGCTTCATTCGCCATGTTCAACGAGACTCCGGGCATCCGCGGCCAGGAGCTCCAGTGGGTCTTCTCTGCTCCGACGTCGAGCCCCGCTGCAGAGAACGCCTCGACGACTTCCGCCAACGTGGCTTGAGCTTCGGATAATGTCTCGGCAACCAAAAGAATATCGTCAGCAAAAGCGACAGCACCGAGCCAGAAACTGCCAAGACACCAACCTTTCCCCTGAGATCGCCATTTGGACAGCAGCGGTCGCAGCACCATCTCTGCGACCATGATGAACACAATTGGCGATTCCGGCGCGCCTTGCGGCACTCCCCGTTCGAGGGGTACTGGGTCCGACGTGATATGGCCGAGGGTGAAAGCGATCTCTGTGCTCATCAACACAGCGCAGAGCACGGCGATGCACTGCAGAGACGCGCCCTGGAGTTTGAGAATTTTGATGATAGCCGAGCGCAGCACTCTGTCAAACGCCTTCTTCAAATCCAGCTGAACTACAAAGATCTCCTGGCCCCATTCGCGACTCAGTTCAGCAGCGCGTTGCACGGCAAACACTCCCTGAAAAGCATGACTGCCTGGGACGAACCCTGTCTGGAACGACTCCAAGCGCAACGGCGGCAACATCTGCATCCATAAATAGCCCAATATCTTCCTGGCCGTCACAAGCGATGAAATGCCCCGGAATTTGGCCAGACTTGCCGGGCTGCACACCTTGGGAAGCAAGACTGCCATCATTTGCACCCACGCTGCCGGGAAACTGAGCGACGCAAACACTGAGCTGAAGAAAACGGCCAAGGTGACAAGGGCTGCCGGGGGAAGTTTGCGATACATTTCGGTCGTGCATCCGTCAGGGCTTCCTTTTCCCATCTTTAGCTTCCCAACTGCTGCGCGCAAGCGGTTTTCCGTAATCCGCCAAGGCGTCATATCAACTCGCAAATCTCGCCAGAGGCTCATGTAGTGAGACTTGTGGTGCCTCTCCGCTTCTGCTTGCAATCGGTCTTCGAACCCGTGTATCGATTGAAAATGGCTGCCGAGCTTCTCTGCGGGATCCCCGCCATTGAAAAGCTTCCCCCAATTCACCGTAAGGTTCTTGCGGCAATCGGATGGTAGCGCGCCGGTCGTCGCAGCCTCTTGGATTCTCCGGTCTGCAGCTTCCCGTCGTTGCTTCCGGCGGTGCCTGTAGATCTTGCGATTCAGTTCCTTTTTCTCTGCCGGCGTGGCGCTCGCATGAGCGTCAAGAAGCGCATCTAGATGCTCATCTCGACGGCGTCGACGCTGTCGCTTGGCATGTGCATGTGCCAGATCCCTTCAAGCCGGCGCGGTTTCGTCCCAAAACTGCCACTCCCAACCGAAAACGGCCGACGCCTCGTCCCAAGAATCTCCCGGCGTCCATTTTCGATGTGTTGGGCAAGGCGGTCGTGGTGTAGGGGCGCTAATGCTATGGAGGTCGGCAGTAACCATGCGACGATCGGTGGAGAAATGAAGGCCGGGCACAACCTGCGACTCCGCACAACTGACCCGGATAGGAGCTGCAATGAAATCGATTTGATCATGTCCACGCTCTGGGACACCGTCCTCCGTCCAGTGCGCCCGCGTAGCAAGATGCATTCCTGCGTCGTCGGAGAACGTGTTTGTCAGGTACAGGCCGTGGTCGACCAAAAAACGATGAAGATGTCCTGCCCGCTCTATTTGTTCAGACGTTCGAGCGGTCGGGGGGCGAAGAACGCTGTCACCCACATGGCAGAGATCGCTCAAATAATATACATTCACATTCGCGTCCATGCCAATGATGACTTTCTTGCCGCGGGTGCTCTCTAAAAATCCGGTCACTTCGTCCAGTGTGTCGGTGAAACATCGGAGAGGTAAGGAGGAGTGTGGAAGATGTAAAGACAACAGGACCCATTCAGTATTGAGTTCGACTGCGACCCAGCGCTGGCCGCACCCAGCGAAGCCAGAGCTGTCGCGCCACCGCTCATGAACGAGTACTGCGGGCCGGCGGAGGTTGCCGAAGGAGGGGGCGGAGGTGATGAACAGCAGGTGGTTGGCCTCGTATGCTATTTCGCCCGCGCGAACGAAGCCCTCCTGCAAAAATACTGCATCCCAAGGGTAAAGGTCGGAGATCTGCTCGATGAACGTGTCCACGTCCTCTTCTGGAACTCCAGCCACATTCCAAGTAGCTACGTGCAATTCGCTGGCGACCCGCTCAACAGCGAACGAATTATCCCCAACACCACGGTCGAGTAGTCAACGCGTGGCCTCTTCGGCCTTCAACTTGTCCACGGTGAGGCCGGAAGACGATATGGCCCCATCGTCCCATACGAAATCGGAGGCGTCCCGGTCCCACTCCACGAGCTTCCAATCCTTGACCCACACGGCGGCCTGCTTGTAGTCCGCGTCGATGTCCTTATCTATGAAGGTCTTCTTCAAGTACTCGGCCATCTGGTAGATTTTGGCATTGCTGCGGCGCTGCTCCGGGGTCTTATCGGCCCTCGCCCGGATTGCCGAACCTTTGTACTCTATGTTCATGGGCTTCCACTTGGAGATGAAGTCGAAGACCGCGTCTTTGGAGTGCACGCGGACCATGGCCACTGTGGAGCGCACGTTGGGCGCGAAAACATGTAGGCCCTTCCACTCCTCCACTTTGCCCAGCTCGCACTTCAAGAAACTCTCGATGTCCGCCTTACGGGAGTTGGCAGGGAAACCTGTAAGGACAACAACAGGCTTGGTTTCATGCTGCGCCCGAGAATGTTGGGGAGGCTCTGAACGAGCTCGCTTTGACCCACCACCCCATGAGGCCCCAGTAGAGTTATCCACGCGGCTCATGTTCTCCAGCGCCTCCGTGCGCGTCTTCAGGGTCTGGAGTTCCTTCATGATCTTTTCCTCATGGTCTTTGAGCCGCTTGTCCACCGTCTCGTTAATCAGCGTGCCAACCTTCTCGAGAATGTCCTTGGCTACGTCGGCCCTCAAGGCTTTGTTCGCCTCTCCGATGATGCTGCGGATCTCCTCAGCGGTCGCCATGGCACCTGAAACGAAAGTTCCTGAAGTGGGGAAGTCAGTAATATTGGGTCCTATACCCGGTGACCCTAAATCTTGACCCTAAATCTTGACCCCCCCTTCCCTCCTCACCCCTCCTCCGCATCCTCCTGCACATCCTCGCGGAGGATTGGCACGATAGCTTTTCCACGACGGATCGCGACGTTTGCTTGAGTAAAACGCCCGAGGTAACGCAGGCATCTGACGGTCACTGTCTCTCTAACAATGCTGGCGTTGAGTTCCTCCCTACCGCCTCGCACTTTCGTATTAGAAATGCGAAATAATTACAAGCATAGAGGGCGGTTCTTTTTCAAAATGTGGCTCTCGCCTCAGCGGGGGTTCCGCCGAAGGCCCCAGCGGCACCACTGGGAGTTCCGCCGAAAACTTCAGCGGGATCGTGGCCCCAGCGGGAGCTCCGCCGAAGGCCCTAGCGGCAACGCCCATTTCGGCACACCCCTCACGATGATGCTGGCCCAATGGGCGTTCCGCCGAAGGAATCCTACCAATCCTGGAAATCAGGGAACCCTGGGAATCCTGGGAATCCTCAGGGAATCCTAACAATCCTGAAGAAATCCGAAGAATCCCTAGGAATCCTGGCAATCCCTACGGAATCAGTGAACCCTGAAAATTCCACGGGAGTCCTATGAATCTTTCGGGAATTCTTTGGAATCCCTACTGGATCCTAGGAACCCTTGGGAATCCCTGTCAATGATCCCACGCGCCCTCTATGGGATCCCACATAGATCCCATACGGCCTGTATGGGATCCCACACCAATTCCATACGGCCTGTATGGGATCCGATACAGATCCCATACAGCCTGTATGGGCTCCCATACAAATCCTGCACGCTGTCTGGGACCCGATACAGATCCCATACGGCCTGTATGGGATCCGTTACAGATCACATACGGCCTGTATGGGATCCGAAACACATCCCATACGGCCTGTTTTGGATCCTACAGAAACCCCACACGGCCTGTATGGGTTCCGGTTGGGCCCCATCTAGGGTTGGGTACAGCTCTGGTAGGACCCCATATACAGATGGGCACAGCGGTAGGAACCGTATACAGCCCTGAAGGGCTTGGTAAAACTCTGGTAAGATCCCTAATAGGGTCGGGGACAGCTCTGGTAGGGCTGGGTTCGGCTCCGGTTGGATTCATACAGGGTTGGAAACACTCCCCCCCTGGACGGGGCGTAGCCCACCCGCGAGGGGAGTGCCGCAGGGGTTGCTGGGCTGCTAGTTGCTAGGGGGGCAACCTTCAAACCCGCATTGTTCAACAACAACAACCTTAACAACAACAATAACAACAACAACAACAATTACTAGCACGTGGGGACACTCCGTTCTCACCAGTGCCAGGGTTTTCGTAGGAGGCGGGCAATACCCCCACTTTGTGGGGGGGCGGGTTCAAGCTCTACCAAATTTCCAAACGACTCTTCGCCACCACCCACACCCAGCTTCCCGCCCTATGACGTTCGGACACTTCACTTCGTGGCATGCGGACGACCGTGGCTACTATTCAGGGCCCCGCGGCCGACGACGACGGCGTGCGCGCGCGAAGAAAAAACGAATGTGTCCCGCATGGTATTATTTGACAGGGATGATGGCCCTGGCAGGTGCGCAACCGTTTTTGCAGAAGTTCGAAAAAGTTGCTCGCAAAAGCCCGTTTGACAAAAATGCTTAAAAAGTGTTGGGTTTCCTACGAATCCGCAAGAGCACGCGGGATGAAATTTCGGCATTTTTTTTTTTTTTTGAAAAACCATTGGTTTTTTGATGCTTTTATGTTAAAATCGCTACGAAAACTAAGGTTTTGGAAGGATTTCGTCTTGCGCGCGCGAATGTCCACTTTACCTTATGTTTTGCAAGGGATTCTTGAAGTTTGGATATGTTAGAACAAGAAATTTCATTTTATAGTGTTTTTTGCAAGGGAAAGCGGGCGTCAACAAAACAACCGGATCTGGATCACATCGTTTTACCTGAGGCTTCCTCACGAAAATGATGAACACGTGGCTGCGGCCTAGGCGCGGCGGGGGGGGCGCGCACCAGGGGTCCCAACAATAATTATTCTTTAGAATAAATAATGTTCAACAACAACAACAACAAGGCATCAACGCATATGTGTGCCCCCCTCCCAACCCACGAGGGGGGGGGCAGCAGCCAACAGCCAGCAGCCAGCAACCAGCACTCATACAAACAACTAACCACAAAATCCAGCGGGACCCATATAGGGGTCAACTCGGCCCTGCATTCGCCAAACGATCGCGCGCTGGCGAAGCAACGCCTCTGGTTGCCTCCTCTCATGGGAAGCTGTTGCGGATGGATGGAGCCCTGAAAACATATTATTAAGGATGGATGGAACTCTTGGGGGTCTTTTTAGGAGTGGATGGAAGTCTGCTAATATCCTGTTAAGGACGGCTGGAATTCTAGGGGGTCCCGTTCGGAGCGGGTGGAACTGTCATAGGATCCCTCTAGGGATGGATGGAGCTTTATCTGGATTACGTCAGGAGTGGATGGAGCTCGAATAGGATCCTGTAACGGATGGGTGGGGCTCCAATAGGATCCTGCTAAGGATGGATGGAGCTATAAATGGACCTCCTTGGGGAATGAATGGTGTTCGGATAGGATCATGTTAGGGATGGACGGGGCTCTAACAAGATCCTGTTGGGTTGGACGGAGCCCAAATAGCATCCCACCAGGGACGGATGGGAATCTACTCTAGTGGATCCTGGTGGGAGTGGATAGAACTCTCACAGAATCCTGTTAGGGCTGGATGGAACTCTAGGGGATCCTGTTAGGAGCGGATGGAATTCTGATAGGATCCTGTTAGGATGGATCTCTGAGAGAGACCTGTTAGGGATGGATGGAGTTCTAACAGGATCATGTTAGGGATGGAGCTAGACCAGGGTCCTGTTAGGGATGGATGGAGCTCCAATGAGGTCCAGTTAGGGATGGATGGAGCTATAGTAGAATCATGTTAGGGATGGATGGAATTCGAATAGGATCGTGTTAAGGAGGGATGGGGCTCTCGCAGGATCTTGTTAGGGATGAATGGAGCTCTAATGTGCCCTAGTGGGGAAGGATGGAGCTCTACCAGGATCCTGTTCGGGATGGATGGAGCTATAAAAAGATCATGGTGGGGATGCATGGAGCTTTTATGGGTCGACACGAGTCAGTTAAACTGAACGGAACCAATACGGACCCATCTATATATATAATATATATATATATATATATATATATATATATATATATATATACACGAATGGGAGAAACACTACAAATCAAAAAGGATCAATAAAGATCATTCGGAATCAATCGGAACCAATAAGAACTAACTGGCATAAGTTGGAAACCTTGGGAACCAATGAGAACCAATGAGAATCAATGGGAAGCAGTGGCGATCAAATAGAATCAATAAGAATCATGTAGAAACAATAATAATCAAGTAGATTCAACAAGACCCTAAGATAATCAATTCTGAATCAATTAGAACCTATGGTCGATATGAAGTAAAACCAACAGGAATCAACTAGAAGTAACAACAATCAATGAGACCCGACAGGAGTCAATAAAAAAAAAAACATTCAGAACCAATTCGGGCCAATGGGAATCAGTTCGAACCAATGAGAACCAATTTGGTTCAATTGGCAAAACTATTCTTATCTATATATAATGGGGATCCCTGGAGACCAATTGAAATTGAGCATATATAACGGTAACCAACTGAAACTTGTAGGAATCAAACTGGGTGAATTGGGTTCAATTGGAATGATTGACAATCAATGAATCAATTAGAATCATCAGAGGCCAATTAGAATCAAAGGTGACCAATGAGAATCACATACAATCAATAGAAAACACTGAAGATCTAATAGGGCCAATGAGGATAATGAATATTCGAATATACTCATTTGGAACCAACAAGAACCAATCATAACCGGTTGGGGACATAAGGAATCACATCAAACCATGAAGAAACAATGAGAAACAATAGGGAACAATTAGAAACAATCAGACACAATTATAACAACTGATAATCAATCCGAATCACTACGAACCAATTAGAATCAATGAGGACAAATTAAAACCAATGGACATCAATGGAAAACAATAGAGCCCTGATAGGATCATGTTAGGGATGAGTGGGTCTCTGGGGGGGCCCTGCGAGGGATGGATGGACATATAGCAGGATCCTGTCAGGGATGGAGCTAACCCTGGGGTCCATCAGGGATGGATGGAGCTCAAATGGAATCCTGTTACGGATGGATGGAGCTAGAATAAGACCCCGTTAGGGATGGATGGAACTCAAAAAGGATCTTGTTACTGATGGATGGGGTTCTCGTAAGATCCTGTTAGGGATGGATGGAGCTATACGAAGATCCGATTGGGGATGGATAGAGCTACGATGGGCCCGATGCCAGTCAACTGGGATTCATGGAACCAATACGAACCAACACGAGTCAATACAAATGGGAGAAACAGTAGAAATCAATAAAGGACAATAACGGTCAACCAGAATCAATCGGAACCAATAAGAATTAACTTGGATGAATTGGACACCTTGGGAATCAATTAGAACCAACGAGAAACAAGTAGAGTCAGTTGGAGACAACTATAATCAACAATAACCAATTAGAACCAATAAGACTCAACTAGACTCAACAAGAACCTAAGATAATCACTTAGCAGTTAATTAGAACCAATGGGAATCAAAGAGACCGATAAGAAACAATCCGAATCAAGTAGAACCGATCGGAACCAATTGGAATCAACGAGAATCAATGAGACCTGGCAGGAAACAATAAAACCATTTGGAATCAATCCGAATCACTGGGAATCAATTCGAAACAATGAGAATCAGTTAGGATCAATGGGAATCAATCAGAAGCAACAGGGATCATTGGGGATCCATAGAGATCAATTGAAATCGATAAAGGATCATGGAAGCCAGTTGCAATCAATAGGAATCGAATTGGATGGTGTAGATTCAATAGGAATGATTGGGCATGAATGAATCAATCCGAAGTATGAGAAACCAATTAGAA